GGTCCCTAATACGTCGTTTGCCATTTAAGTCTTTATATGACCCCTCAGCAAGTTCCGTCATAGCAGTAACTTTTTCAATTTATAAAATTCATGTAAGTTTTGAGGCACATTTCATCTGCTTTAAAGGGCAATGTTGAATGAAGAAGCATTCCTTTGTGGAAAATTCGAATTGGGCGTTGAAAATCACACTCTAATCTATCGGAAGCATCGAGAAAGCGTGTTTACTATTTTGAACCTCGAGCGCCGGGTAAAAAAATGAAGTAGTGAATGCTAATTTGCTTATAAAACCATTTAGACAGCTCAACTCAATGTAATATTAAGATAAGATTAAAATGTCTTTTTTATCAAGCACAATGGAGTTCTAAGGGCTAAATGACGGTAATTAATTATCTGAAACGACTTTTCGACGCCAATTTAAAAGGTTCCTTAATCGAGTGTAAGATGTATTCAATTCAATGTACTTTCTAAACCTGTCAACCAGCTCTCAAACCTGTGCTTTCGATGTAAATAAGCGAGATCACGCGTACGTGTATATGATATGCATCCCACACATCTAATTTTGCCGGACCTCTGACAGGAAAAGGCCTAGCCAAATATAATAACTAAAGGTACCATTATTATTATTATTATTATTATTTTGAAAAAATTTCTCTTTGGGCTAATATTTTGAAGCCGGGCATTTGAATAATTCAACTCTTTACCAAAAAAAATTTTTCCAGTCCATCTATAAACCTTTGTTCGGCAAAACAGTGTCGCGCTATTTCATAATTCTAAAACTTCTCTTTCCTCTTGGGCAAGATTACTTTTCATTTGATTTTATCCCCGAATTTGGGGGCGTTTCAGTAAATAACATATATCACCTTACTTATGGTCTAATTTTGCTATCTCACCTGACGCCAGCCCAGTTTTCTAGATGGCTGATTATACACATGCAAAATAAGCTCAGGTTTGCTTCAAATTGCGCCCACGAAAGGCTGAATTTGAATCACAGTCTAGGTCTGCAGGACTATATAACGTAACCTGAGATCAGGCTCTATTTTCGTTCCGCTTTGAAAATTACATTCCGGCGGGCAAGGCGAAACGAAAAGAGAGCCTGATACAAACCTTCAACGAAATATCTGCCGCCCACTTTTTTGATTGATTGACATTTGCCGAATCAGCCAATCAGAATTACTTCCGTTACTTGTTTTTCTAGTATGCAAACTTTTCACGCGTGGGAAAAATGCAGACTGGCTGACTTTAAAAATAGCTTTTATCTGTTATTTTTTTCAGCTAAAAATAAAACAGTCAGCACAATCACATTTAACTTCTTGCGAGATTAAGGGATATCTCGAAGGTTACTTCTGTTGGCGTAGAAGGTAAAAAGTTTTCGAAAAGACGGCGACACGATGTTCTACTAGTTTTATTATTTTGGCTAGGCGCTCTGGAATTTAAAATACTGAAATCTCTATTTTTCAGTTGTCTTGATATTTTCCTCGACAATTTCCCCCGATTTTTAGTACATGAATCTTTAAAAACAAAAGCAAACAGCCAACGAGCGAGGACAACAGTTTTCTTGGTTTACTTTTAACAAAAAGCGTAGTCAAACAACCAGTCTGTGAACACTGAAAATTCCTTGAACAGCGATGCGATATTTTTCTTCTAATACTTCACAGTTGGCGATTGAGGTTTCTTTCGATGTGAGCCTCCGCCTGCGTACCCCGTTCAGAGAAGTCATTCCCGGCTAAACTTTCAAATGAAACCAGTTTTAAGATGGACAGTATTTTGATTAGCACCCGTTTGTTGGTAAATCAAAATGCACCTTGTTCGCGGTCAACAACTTGCCACGGGATTCAACTCCGCGATACACTCACTTTCCGTAAATAAAGCAAATCCCGAGAAGATATGAACAACCACATGAATTTTCTGAATTTCCATGGCACATATTAAGGCATATTTTCCTACCATAAGACCATAAAACAGCAAGTCCATGTTCAGTTTAGTTGATGTAATTTTTTTAATTTAATGGGCGAATAAAACAAAATATTTATTTCCCTCCAATCATCGCCCCTTTTGGTGAAAAAAAAAGTAATGACCCGGGCTATTCGAGAAGACCTTTCTTTCCAGCGAAAAAGAGATTGAGGAACTATATCCTCCTAGAGTCGAAGAATTTTCTGGAAATGGGTAGGCAGGACTCGTAAACACTTTTTTCTCCTAAGCGCTGGGTCGACTTTTTATCCGTTATCTTCTTAAAATAACTCGTAGAACATGAATCATTGAGCATTGTGCATAGAATGCTATTCACTAGAGGACAAATATTCTCATTATAAGCTATTCTTCTAGAAAACCTATTCTGCAATTTTCCTCTCTGTTGTTTTTTTCTCTATTTCACGTGTCGTTTCCGTTCAGCCTGCCGCTTGCATGTGTCCACGTGTAGAGGGAGGGGTGTTGTTCGTTTTATCGATTTACGCAAAATCAGCGTTGGCAGCAATACTCCTCATTATGTTATTCTCTTGCCTTTCCCCTATTCTTGTTACGCATAAGATATTATTATTATAACTTGATTGTCGCCTAAATGTTTTACTCTTCAAGATTAGTTGGAGTTATTTGTCGGAGTCAGAATCTAGCACAGGAAGACTCTTAGCTCTATCTTTTGACTCTTATGTAATTTTGAATACTAATGTAATAATATTCAGCGCGCGTCCGGCTCTATAAAAATTTAATATCGAAAACTAGAAATAATCATTTCATTCCCCAAAAAGAAAGAATAAAAAAACATTTTTTTCAAATTAAGTATTGTTGCATTCACATCCTCATGAAGAAGCGGTCAATCAACGGTTGTTAAAAACTGACAGCTCTTCAAAAAAAACACACACGTATTTTTTTTCTACCAGTGATTAACGTATTCAGAGTCGGTAGGGCATTGATTTATCAAAATACACTGGTGTCAGAAAAAGATCCCCGAGATATTTAATTAATATGTAAAACACACTGATTCATATTAACACAAAATATGCCCTCCGAATTATGTAATTCATAAAAAAATTCACACTTATTTAAAGTTATGAACTTAAAAGAACGCCCCATACCCTTCATAAGACCATATCAATCTGATAATAGCCTTTTTTTGTTTTTTTAAGCAGGTCATGCTTTTTTCATTACAACGGAAATAATAAGGAGTGACAAGCTGTGAACAAAACATTGGCCTCCACTGTCCAGGGTTGTATATATTGAGGAAAACAAAATTCATTAACACATGGTCATATTGTTGACTATCGAAGATCTGCAATGTTGCAGCTCTACTGGCTGATTCTCGTGTCTGGTATGTATAAAAAAGAAACCTTTCAATTTAATTTTGTTTCGTTATATCATATTTTGTGTTCATCAAAATTGTTCTTTCCGATTTAAAAATTAGAAATTTAAAGCTATTTGAAAAGTAAAGTTATAAAAATAATTGTAAACGTATTATATTAAATTCAGAGCCCCGTCAAGTAGAAGATTCCTTATTACTTTCTCCTGTAATTTAATTTAGGCTATTAACTGATAATCTTAAAATGAACCAAATCAGTTCAAGCAACATTTGACCCTTCCATAATTTTTTTTTTTTAATTTTTCAAACCTATAGTCTGTCATGACAACTAAAATTTTATCAAAATTTGATTTTTACTTCAAATCTAGAGAATGGAAAAACAGTTGCATGTAAACACGTGCTAATTTACATTCAACTTTAATTCTGTTCGTGAAACTGACGAAACCTGTAGACTTTGAGACAAGGGCGTTAACGCACCTTCATTAAAAAATAATTTTCAGAAGAAGCTGTTGAATGTATATCTAAATCTTCTATTCCACCAAAAATACTTGCATAACAAAATGCCTATTATTATATATTAGTAAGTCATACACCTTAAAGTTCCCTTCTCAAGATTACAATCTTCTTTATTTATAGCCAAAGAGTGTGATATTAAAAAACCTCTGGCGTACTTTTCGTTGTGTAATATTAGACTGAATATTAGCTTACTAGTTAGTATCCGCTTTAAAATACGCCCGCAATTTTTTTTTTCGTGTTATTTGAAAACCTACCATTTTACTTTTAAACACGATGAATTCTCCGTCCATATTAAGTTAGTGTCCGCTATAAAAAAAATACCTTATTGGTACTTATTTTCGAGGACCTTTAATATCACGTTTTTCGCAATCGTAAAGACCGCGAGAATAAATCAAAAAATATATAAAAATGTAATAACAACACATACAGGATATACATCGACAAATACACATTTTTTTTTTTTTTACTTGTAAGGTCCATTTTTAAGTTCTGTTTTGAAATAACGCTAATTTGCAAAGATACAGTTTTCACATATGGAGTAGACAAAAGGTGTGTTTTAAAGGTTCCAGTTTATCTAGAAATTTTACAAATTTCAGGCTTTTTGAAAAATAAGATGAAGTTGAGAACGCTTGAATCGCGAAAGTTAATGCCCTTTTTTCATTTTTGCCTTTTGAAATTACGAAATAAATAAAAGCCCGGAAAATACTGTCTCGCCAAAATCGAGAAATTAAGTACCCGCGAAATTAAGTACCAACAAGGGTACTAGGATGTTTGGGTTGGCAGTGTGGCGAATTTACAGGTGATGCTGAAGTTTGTTGTAATAACGGAGCTAAACCGCGATTGTTTTTTGTTCACCCTTTGTAAGGTTATCCGGATTTTGCTCGTGGAATACGGAATCCTCAGGCTTTGGAATCTGTAATTCTGCCCAAGGAAATTCCGCTAACGATTATGCACAGCGTTGGGATTCAGAATCCATGACGGTCTTGTTACAAATGATATCGGTCATGTTTAGTTTTAGTGTTGGTCACAATGACTGTGTTAGTGATGGCGTTGGCCGTGTTGATGAAGGCGGTGGGTTGCTGTGGTTATGCTGGCATTGTTGGTGTTGACAGAATTTTATTGTTATGCGCGCGCTTTTATTAACGATTTTAATGATGCTTTTGGTTTCTTTTTCTCAGATTCACTTGGTTTTATCATGGGAACTGAATATCACATAGATAATACTAAAACGACCTGGGAGAAAGCAAATGAACTGTGTAAAAGAAATGGGACGATTTTGGCCGAGCCTTCCCACTCAACGATTACCGAGCTCGCTGAAAGGCTCAGATCACTGGGATATACGAATTCTGATAGATTCTGGATTGGACTTACTTTTAACCCCGCTACTAGCCAGTTTGTGTGGAGTACAGGAGACATCGCTCAGCAAAACCTGGTCAATTTGACGTGTGGGAAATTCGCAGGAAGCTTACGCCGCATTTGCTACGTATTGACGAATATAGATCATTCTACGTCACCATGTTTTTTAAGATGGAGCTGCCAAGATGCTAGATATGGTTATATCTGCCAAAATGGCCCCGAAGGTAAGGTTTTAAGTAATAGTTGTCAATAAATAAATCAGGCGGGTATTGATTTAAATAACCACACAGGACGAGGTGACTGAAGACTCTGCTTCGCGTCGACCACCAGGTGTGACGGAACAGTGAATAAGTTTAGTATACTTTAGATAACTTACTGCCTCTTGAAAGTAGCGGTGTTACCCTTATTCAGTTTCCCTGAATATTTTTTCTCAAATCTAATTGCTTAAGCAATTAGATTTAAGAAAAAAATATAGTGCATGTGTTAATGTGCTAGGCTAATATATTTATTTTCAGCTAAAACACTAGCAACTTCTCATACAAGAGTCCAGCAAGTTCTGCCAACAGCGACAACTAGAGGAATATTTTCTTCAAGCACGTTTTTGACAGCTGCTGTGCTTTCAACTGCTCTCGAAGCTCCGCTAACAGCACCATCTGACAAGGCATTCTTATCCTCAAGCACTTTACCTGCTCTGTTCTCAACTGCTCTCGACGTCCTGCCAAGAATGACGGAATCAACTGAGAACGTATTAGCTTCAAGCACTTTACCTACTGTAAAACTTCTGCTAACAGCACCATCTGGCAGGGCATCGTTGTCTTCACGCACTTTACCTGCTGCGTCTTCGAATGCCTTCGAAAATCTACCAACAGCATCGACTGGTAAGATATTAGCTTCAAACACTGTTCTTGCCGTATCTTCAAATGCTCTCGAAGTTCTACCAACAGCATCAACTGAGAGGGCCTTAGCATCAAGCAGTCCTTCGTCCCTGTCTACGACTGCTCTTGAAGTCAGAGTGCCAGCGTTGACGGCTTGGAAAGCATTTCATGCCAATATAACCTCCAACAGTGTCAAACGGCACTCTAACTATCCGGTAAGTCTACCTCAAAGCGAAATTCCAGCCAATGCGTCATCGCAGAGTAAGAGATAACCTTGATATTGGTCAAAAATACTGTGGCGGACCAAGAACCTCATATAATTGGGAATGCCTGCCATCCAGATCCCGGGGGTGACCCTAAAAAAACGGTTCTACGACCTTGCTCGCTTCAGTTTGCCCTAGAAAGAAGGTAGTGGGAAAGAAAACTCAAAAGATACTTATACTGAGTGTATTCAAACAAAAAAAATAGGCTGATCAGGAATCAGCACATTGTCTAGCGCAAACGTAAACCCATTCTTTAGGTTCTTCAGAGGAAAAAGGTAAACACCATAACTTGAATCTTCTTGTTTTTATTGATGCTACAGCTACTGTATTCCAGTATTTTTCAGTGGAACTTGGATTCTGGATTCCAATCGTTAGTGGGATTCCGGATTCCTTGAGCTGTATTCTGGATTTAAAAGCCCAGGATTCCTGATTCCATAAGCAAAAATTTCCTGGATTCCGGATTTCACAAGCAAACATTTTAGGATTCCGGAATCTGGATTCCCTTACGTGGGACGAATCTAGACACATACAGATTACGGTTGAAACTTACTGTTGAGAATTTGGCAGATTCGAAATTTTTGTATACTAGATTGTTAATTGATATTGTTTTAGTAATTCTCCGCTGGGCTGTTTTAACGTTAATTCTTCGGATTTTTTTCTTCGAGTGTTACAATTGCATTTAATTTAACATTTGATTGAAAGGTAGAAATTACAATAAAGAAAATTCCACATGTGTTGATAAACTTCTTAATTGCAGAGCTAGAAACTCCCCATCGCCTTAACCCTTTAAGCCCTAAGAGTTATCAGCATCAGATTTCTCCTTGTAATATCAGTGCTTTGTAAAACAGAGTGGTCTTGAGAATTACGGACATGATCACACATAATGAATTTGCTTGATATTTTATCAACTTCTCCCCTCTACTTCAGTAGTAAATGAATAGGGACAACAAATGAGAATTCAAATTTTGATATTAGGGTTTAAAGGGTTAACACACAACCGCTTCTTATTCTTTTCTTTTTTTTTAGCAAGACATCGGTAAGAGTTTGTTGATAGTGACATTGAGCTAATATTTAATATATCAATTTTTTACAGTTGTTAGATTTTTACCGCAAGGTGGCGTCACTAAATCCACAAGACCCACTTTCACTAAAGGTAAGAAACTAATAATTGTATGAGCAATTGATTGGCAAATTGAAAAATCTATAAACGTCGACAAAATATGAATCAATTCTCTGGTCTTAAAAAAGAAATACAAGAAAAATATTTACATCAAGTGACTTCTAACCTTACCGAATGTAGACGCCGCTTCGGTTAAGGGTCTTAAAATCTGATAGGAAAAAGTTCCGCATTTAATTAAACCAAAAAAGGACCTCAGTAAATGATGTCTGTATCGTGAATGAAAATGCAAAGGCTTAGCTGTGTGATAGCAGTCTCCCGTAAAGTTGTTCAGTCAAACCAAGTAAAAACCTTTCAACAACGGCCACCATGGGCACAGAGGTAAGCTGCCCTTACAGTCACTGTGCTCGAATTGTAGGTGGCTCCTCTCTAAGGGTTCCGCAATGGTATAGGCATCCTACTGATGAATGACTACAGTCAGATATCTATGTGGGGACAACAACTGTTTATGATAATCTGCTCCCTTTGAACTAAATACATTTTTGTTCAGGAGTTGCTGCTTCCTTCCTCCTGTACGTATATAGGAACAGATTATGAATATCGTAGAATTGTCTGAGTTTGTAAAGAAGGCTTGCCGCTTAGACTGGAAAATAAACATCCACACTTCCTCGGGTAATTCTCCTCTACTCCACCTTTCATTCTGTCTAAATATTTAGTTCAAAGTAGCTGAACTAGGAAAGCATTAGCATCTATGCAAATGTATTGGAACAAAAGAACGTTTTTACGTAACAAAAAAGGTTTAACTCCAACTGCATGGATTGGTTCGGAAAAACCAACATGGCTGTCGTTTTAGTATTGTTTAGGGAAACCAATACAGTGGCCGCCATGACGTCATGTGAAACCGCTCAGTCTAAGTAACGTGTACTAAGGGATCTTAATAAGTAGAGAAGGTTTGATAAGCAAACAAAAAAGGGTCAGTATCCAGCTGATGTAAATGTCCATTTAATAATCAACACAAATAGTTTAGAGAGGTCACACAGTCATATTGGGGGAAACTACCAAAGAGAAGAATGTGTGTAGGAGGGTGGCCGGGGAGGGAGGTATGGTGATGACACGATAGATGAACAAAACGTGGCCCTTATTAGTTACATCCAGGATGACAGGGTGATCGTGAAAGAAAGGTGCGATGAGCTAAGTTAAGAAGGCATAAAGTTCAAGAAAAGATAACTACTGGCCCGTCATTTTTATATATGTGTGTGTATGTATATATATATTATATATATTTATTTTGTTTTTTTACAGCTTCCCACAGATGCATATCAAGATTTCATACACGCCTTGCAAGAAAACTCCAAAACTGAGATTGGTGAATGTATAATGTTATCAGCACGAGCTATTGAAGAATTCGCGTTCAAATACGCTTCTTTTAACTTGAATGCGTCAAAAAGGGAGGAGAGAAAGGAAAACCAAAACATAGGTAAAAAAATATACGGTCAGATTTGAGTCCTTTCATGACTTTTGTGTTTTAGACTGTTTCTCTCCGTTTAACCCTATTATCTCCATTATAAAATGGAAGTCAATTTAAACTGTTCATAAACTAACGTGTTTCTTCATTTTTTATCCCTAGTTATACATGTACATGTATTATACACATCTCTGGTACCTAAAGGTTACGCCAACAATTTTACTTTTTCCGAAGAGGACAATTTTGAGGAAGTGGCAAAAATCACTCTTCCATCGTATTTGTTTCGAAATCAAGGTAACGTTGCTGAGGGGACCAACCAATTGAGGTTTGCTCCGGGCTTTACTCCTTATAATGGCCTATACGGGGAGCTCCGCCCGAAAGGGGTACCAATTTTAGGCTTCAGTTATATAAAAGGGTTGGGTGTTAACCAATTGAAGTGTGAGAAAGGGTAGAAAATCTATCATTTCCAACTGTAAAAAAGGCCCAAAAGGGTTAAAGGGTTATGGCTGTGAAAAAATCGAGAAACCTTCCTAGCTAAGTGATTTATTCATCAGATATTTAAAAACCAGTACATCTACCACAATTAAAATTAAAGGGATGGAAAGTTGAATATTAGGTATATGAATTGGGCACCATTTGTCAAAAAAGGGTACACGTAAGGGATACCTTTTCTGTCAAAAATTGTACACAAAAGAGTAAGGGATCGGACCAGTCGGGGCCTTGCCTCCGCGTAGACAAAAGACAATAGACAATATTATTTTTATTTGGGGTATTTTACCAGCTGGTATAAAACTCGTAAATGAACGTTTGAAACTCTTTTGAGTATCCCCCCTCCCCCACCCCCTGGGATTTGACCATGACATACAGGACCCTAAGAACGTTCAGAACTTCCATTTCCTTTCTGCCCATGTCTTTAAAGTCGTATTATGTTTGTCTCTGTGATGTTTTCAGATACTATTGTTGTTAACACGCTGTATTTTGGTCTTGATGAATACTTTTACAGCTTGGATCCAAGGTGAGGATGGGTTGTTTCAAATAATCCGGATAAAAGGTGTAGCAAAGTATTTAACTCAAAAGTAAAATAATTATTGAATTTAATTTAAATATTTAATTCAAAAGTAAACCTTCCCTCCCATTAAACATTGCAAATCCCAGATATTTATTGAGTTCTATATTTCGGTGAAGTTCTAGCCTTGCAGGTTCTCAACACGATAATTTTCACGAATAGACAGTTTTATTTTATTTTAATTTATTTTAAGTTAAGAATTAATTAACGATTAAAATATATCCCATGAATAGCTTTTGCAATTACATTCAAACTTCCTTTAAAGCGGACACTCTAGGGACCTCGAGTTAGTGTCCTCATTAGCGAGAGTCCGTAATATCGAGAGTTTATTTCAGTCAAACGTCTGTAATTTGTTTTTGCCGGGGATTTAGCTGCTGTCAGTTTTATCGGGGTGTCCGTAATAGCGGAGTGTCTGCAAGGCCAAAGTTGACTGTATACTGTATCTGTTATAGTCATGCAAATAAAGTTTGTTGTTGTTTTGGTGGTTATTGTTAGAGATGTGTTCAACTCAACAAGATGATCGCCAAGCTTGAAATACAAGAGGGTGGACATTGCAATTTCCTTGTCCCATTGTTTCAATTTTCTTCTCTGAAACAACTGGACAATTAAAAAAATAAAAATCGTCTCTAAAATGGACGTCACTACAGAATTAATTTCTAATTATAATCTGCTAAAGCATAATAGTTATAAAGGTAGAGAAGATCACCACAGTAAGTCTAAAGAGAAACTTGCCATTGATATGTTTATATTTTTCAATCTGTCTCCCCGAGCGTCTCGCTGTAGTTTAAAATTTATTTCATTGAAATTGGTTTATAGGATTAAGGTTTCCTTAATAATTTTATCTTTTTATTTTTTTACCCTCTTTTAGCGACAAACGTGTTGATTCCAGTATTTTAGGAAGTAGCCTTAAGCCTTACCAAACTGGAGTTTTTAGGGAGAATGTTACAATAGTTCTTCGAACCTTCAAGGTAAATATGTTAATGATAATTAAAAACCCTTCACGTACAATTATATACTATGGAATGTACGGATATTAAAGCTCTTAACATAAACTAATTGCACAAGTAGCCCCATAAGATGTTTCTGGCAAGTAGCTGGACGCCACTGTCTTGTTTCAATACCCTCCACCGGCGGTCACTATGAAGAATTTCACTCTACTTTTAATTAAATATAAACAATCAAACTAACAAATTTACAAAAAATATATAAACTCATTTTTCTCCATAGTTCTTGTAACCCTCAATATTATTTTTATCATCGAAATGACTAAGTTGTTGCTTGTTACAGGGAAATGAACACAAGGACTCAAAGAAATGTGTATTTTGGAAATGGAACCATTCAAACCCGTAAGAAAGCATATTTATAAGTAACCAAGCATTGATAACTGTCCAATAAAGTCTAAGTTTTGTTTTTAACATAAGGATCACAATTGAAATTTTACTAGTATTTCATTCGTAAGACTGATTTTCAGATTTGCAGTCGAGAATGCTAATTTAAAATTTCAGCTGATACGCAGTGAAAATGGAGAAAGACCAGGTCTAATGCCAATGAACACTTGATAAAAAAAAAAAAACACAGACAACTTTGCCTTACAGAATAGAAAAGAGATGTTGAGAGATCTTTAGACCAGGAAAGCGGACCGTTTTAGCTAGCCTGTACCGGCTCTCTGATAGCAGAAACGTCGCAAAAAGAAGTCTCGCGAAAATAAGACGGACGAGATGTGGAAAAAGAAGTGCGTTTTTTGCGTTTTTTTTTTTTTTCGTGATCCCTGCACATTATTATCTTTCAGCCAGAAAAAGGCTACGTTTCACTATGTAAACCCGGAGCAATTGCAAGATAATTTTATTTTCCAGCTTATTCTGTGCCTTGACTCGTGTAATATTTGCCAGGTTGATGCTACGGAGTATTTTCCGGTAACAGGGGCTTTGTTTGCTTCAACTCCGAGAATAAATCCCATGTTGCTACTTAACAAATGACCTCTCCTTTTAACTTAGTTTTTACGGTGCCTAACAAAGTTACATTCATCCCTTTCCTTGAATTTTTCAATTAAGCACACAATGATTTCAATGGATAAGACTATAGAAAAAGGGAGAGTCTTATTATTGTACGCATGCGCATCACCGCAACAACAACTTTTCCCAATTTTAATTACCATACAAATTTGACATGTGTGATAATTCCTTTCAGAAATAACGGTAGCTGGTCAGGTGATGGATGTTCACTGGTTAAAACAAACGGCAGTCACGTTATATGCACGTGCAATCATCTGACGAATTTTGCCATTTTAATTAACATCAAGCCGCAGAAGGTAAATGTGGTTATGGGTTAAAGGGGCTTTGTTACGAGGATATTGCTGTTAAAGGTTAATTCTTTGCTGAAGTCATTACTTAGTGTCTTTACCCATACACAAAATGCTCCTGTAGAGTTATGAAGAAGATATCAAACAAATGTTATCAGGGAGCTGATTACCCATGATAATTGTACTGTTTTAGTGATTTACTGCTGGCGTAGCATTAAAAATTAGAAAAGGCTGACCCAATTTTGTCATGTTTC